GAGTGAAGGCTTCTGTGAAGGCGGATAGAGTCATTGAAAGCGCACCCTACCTCGAAGAACAGAGGAACGTAAGCATAAGAGTGGAGCGCATCACTGCACACTCAACTTATCCGCAGGCATGTAACCTGAGTTTCCTAGCCAACGAAGACTGACAGTTCCAGTGGGACGGATTGTGATCCAAGTGAGGCTTCCATGATCAAGAGTCATTCGGATCCAAGCCTCTGGTGGGAGTTGAAGACTGCGACAAACAAAATAGCGGATCACATTAGCATGACAGACAAGGATTTCATAGCTGTCTTTCTCCTGATCGGGATCTGCCCGGTGCATGTAATAATTAAAGGCTGCTTCAATCCGCGGACCATCTTCATTGAAAGCGTCTTTAGAGGAGGGCCAATTAGGTACAGGAGGCTGGGGTGGGAAGGGGGCGCCCTCTCTCAGTCTGTCACAAGGCACAGCAGGTACTTCGGGTAGGTATTTGATAATTTCATCTGTTGACTCCACTGCTCTTGTCATTGTGGAGTAAATAATGCGGGAATAAGGTAAATTGAGCTGTTTCAGTCGCTGACCCGTGTAGTCAGTTTGTTCACGACCTAGTTTAGTCAAATGGCAGTCCGAATCATCCGCAGCGTAATGATACTGCCCGTGACGCACAAGAATTATGTGCCGACTGCATTTGGGTCGCCGCGGACTGTTTGAGCTATCACCATTAGACGTGCCGTCGGTCGAGGTGACCACATCACGTCCATCCCAGTTTGAGTTCCAGGGCGTACAGCAGGACTTGGAAACATCTAATGCCGGAGCGCTGTAAGCCAGTGCCCGTGCGAAACTTGGAAGGATATTTTGGGCATGACTGCGTATGGGTTCACCTGCTGGGGATGCAGCTAGAAGACCTGCACCGATCGTACCACCAAGCAGCACCTTTGCGATTCGGCTGAACGCTTTTCTGTACATTTGTGTTCCAAGTCCGGTGTCTTCTGACACTTCTATTAAGAAGTAAAAATAACATAAAAGGAAGTAAAACATCATGATTTCAGAAGGAAAATTCATGTTAAATTACTTTGCCGAAAATGGAAAATGATAGTAAAGTAGCATAGGAAAATAAAGTCGATCCGAGGTCGCAGTCCCTACGGAACATTCATTCAGCGGCCGGGCAGACAAGAATATAGCTGAAAATTTACACAAGCTATGATATTTTCGTTTACATATGCTATGCTATAAAGAACAGTTTCGATTTTAGGATGACAACACGCCAATTTACCGTAAGTAGTAACCGCACTACTTATACTACATGAGTTTATTAGTCAGACTACGTCGACAACATATTGAGGTAAATCGCATTCTACCGTCTTCAAAATCATGCGCTCCATTGGCAGACCGGTCAACACTTTCGAATAACGGACTGAATGCAACAACTAGTCAAACATTCTCGAGCGACACTGACGCAATTGCGCTTGCATTCATCCCCAACATAAAGCTCGGCCAAAACACACTAAAAAGAACATTTGATATAAACAAAAAGAAACATTCTCTGCGAACGCCGGAAAATTCCATCACCAGACTCTACGTAATTGCAGCACTCATATATGAGTGCTATAGCTATGGCTACCTCTTCATAGAGGGGCTCGTG